ACCCCCCCACACACACACACACACACACACACACACACACACAGTGTATTTTTCAAGCTATTGGAGCCAGGACTTGAACCACATGAGGGATCCAGCTGCCATAACCACCACACCACGGGCTAGCCCACATCCCCTATTTTCATTTTGCATCAGCCTGGCCAATTATTTTGTCAGTCCTGCCTTGTAATGACAGTAAGTGAGGACCCAGCGTGGATTCTGGTGGTTCACGGCAGCACTGGAGGAGAGCGTGCATGAAGTCAGATGGTTCTAGGCAACAAGGAAATGTATGAGTTTCCTGCAGCTGCTGTAACAAATGACCACAATATTAGTGACTTAAAATAATGCACATTAATTATTTTACAGTTCTGGAGGTCAGAATCAAGCTGTCTGCAAGACTGAGTTCCTTCTGGAGCCACTGCGGGAGAGTCTGTCTCCTTGCCGTTTCCAGTTTCTGGGAGTTGCAGGTATTCCTTGACTTGCGGCCTCTCATCTTTTTGACCTCTGCTCCCACGGTCACCTCTTGTTCTCTTTTCCTCTGTAAGTTCCCTCATGATTCCCTGGGTCCACGCAGATAGCCCAGAATGATCTTTCATCTCAGCACCCTTAAGCACATCAGCCGATACCCTTTTGCTGCAGAAGGTGACTTAGTCACAAGTTTCAGGGACTAGCACGAGATGCCTTTGGTGGAGAGGGGGAACTATTCTGCCTACCTGAGGAAGCTGTTTGTTTTCCTGCTTAAATCTCTATACACATTTACCCTGGGTCTATCCAGGTTCTGTGGGTTCTGAAGCTTATTTAACTTTGAGGGCCTCTTTTTCTTCTCCAACTTTATTTTTATTCGTGGTAGAGTGAGAGAGAGGGAGGGAGAGAGAAGGAACCACCCCAATAGGGTCTCATTACACCGTGATCCCTCTTCCCCAATTCTCCAACTTGTCAGATCCTGGTCACCCACAGGCAAGCCCGCCATGTCCCAGGCCAACCTAGCCAGGGATTCAAACTGTGGGTCCAGCCACGTGACTTCCAGCACTGTGGTCCAGCATGCTACTAGCTGCACCACCAGGCTGGGCCGAGGGTATTTTTTAAGGGGGAAAAAGAAAAGAAATTTAGGTATGAAAATGAAAAGTACTTTTGAAAGAGAAAGAAACCACAGGTTTCCAGACTGATTCAGGCCCTTTTCTGCTGAGGTGTCTTGGGACAATTTATCAGCAGTGCTTACTCTGACATGCTACCCGGCCCCTCCGATCCGGACCTCTTTGCACATCTGGCAGCTTTTTGCAGACAAGGATCCTTGGTCTGTGACCACTGTGATCACAGGCAGTTTTTCTGCCCACGTTACCCTTGGTGGGGTTGCCAGGTTAAATACAGGACACTCAGCTGAATTTGAATTTCAGGTAACAAATATGTCTTCAGCATAAGTATATCTCAAATTTGGCATGGGATATACTTATACTAATAAATTATTGGGTCCTCGGTAAAGTCATGATACATTTTCTTTTGCATAGAAAAATATGCAAATGAAAGATTTTCCTGATGACCTAATATTTGAAATTCAGAGTTTACCAGAAAACCTGTTTTCACTTGTTTTACTTTGGTTTTGGTTCAACCCAGTCATCTTATGTCTTCCCCGAAGCCTTGGGGAGCAAAACCCTTGACCTAGGGCATCTCAAAGGGCAACCCCAGCACACCCAGCGGCTCCTACTTCAAAACAGAAAATCTCTGGAGGCCCCAGAGTTTCGGAATCAGAACTTCTGGACGTGCCAGCCATCCGCTTGACATCCCTTTGGTTTATTCCAATAGGAGCTTTGGTTTGAGGGCTAACGGTGCTGATACACACACACACACACACACACACACACACACATACACACACACACACACACATTCCTCCCTCCCCCCACATCTGCTGTGCTGCTCACTGTGGGCCTTGGATCTGGCTTGCCAAAGGTGTCAACACATGTCCCATCCGGAATGTTGCAAACGCTCCTTCCTCCTGGCGTCCGCTAGCACCGCAGAGGCTCAGGCAGGCAGAGAGCTACGAGCTTGGCCTCCAGGCCAGGTTCCGCCCGCCCTCATCTGTTCCCGAGCCTACAGAGGCTGTGAACCAGAGAATTTATTCTTCAGGCGGGATTTGCTTGTCACGGCCAGGCAGGGCGGGGCCTGGTGGCTGGAGGGACACGTGTGCCAGGAGGGAAGCAGGAAGTGACTGCAGAGTGGAGCCGGCGAGCGAGCGGCAGCGGGGGCTGATGGAAGTGGAGTGGGGGCTGGAGAGGGCACCCTAGTGAGTCGGATTTCTCTCCTTCAGCGCCTTTGGTTGGGCCGAATGGCCCGGGTCTGGGGCGGTCAGGACAAGAGTGTGGGACTAGAAGGGCAGCAAACTGGGAGAGGTACTCCTGGGGAGAGGAGGGGGCTGGAGGAGAAGCTCGAGGCTGTGGAAAGTGGCAGAGGGAGGTGGAGGGTGCCCGGAGCGTCCCTCTGTCGCTCTCCAGGGTGAGCCGCAGGGCAGTGCCAGCCCGCCCTTCACGGTGCTCCACCAGGATCCCCTTCATTCATCGCTTCATGGTGGGGGTGGTGGGGCACCGGATCCTGATCCGGGAGCAGAGGTGGTTACAGTTCTAACTGCTGGAGGCCCCTCCCCCTGGCTCGGGGTCAGAGATGTGACTGACAGGCTGGTTACCGTGCAGCAGGTCTGAGTGGGGCCTGAGACAGTTCATTTCTAACCAGTTCCCAGGGCGGCTGATCCGGGACCACACTTTGAGTGCAAGGTCTTAGAGAACTTTTTCACAGTCGTATCTGAACCCTTCCTTTGGGTTCCCCTGCTGAAGTCAGGGCACATGAGGGCAGTGTCACCAAGGCCCAGAGTTACACAACCCCGTGCTGTTCGCACTTGTGCAAGTTCACCAACATCTCCAGGCTGACTCTTGGATGGGGTACAACAGGTTGGAAAGGGGGAGAAAAGAAATAAAGAAGCCCTCCATCAGCCGGGAACACCCCATGTGCTGCTGTAGGAGAACTTGCACACATGTGGGTGGTGTTGGCATCTTTAATGTCGGAGTGGGCACAGAATGATCCTCGCTCTTCACTAGTCAAAGCTTACTGTATTAATATCCAGCTCACAAGGGAGTCCGAGCCCCATCGCTAAGCTGCCTCTGCCGTGCACTGCCTGCCGCTCTGTATTCCTAAGGTGTTACTGGTCCACCTGGTTCAGAAAACTTACATTCTCTTGGGCCCCTGCAGAAACTTCTGTTCTCTTAGGACGCTTCATCCACCTTGCCAGCCTTCTGCAGGGCAGGGAAGCGCGCTTTGTTCTAGTTTTCGACCAGCCTTTCCCGCACTTTAATGTGCTTAAGTAACCCCCCCCTTGGAAGTTGACAAAATGCAGATTTTGATTCAGCGAATCTGGGGTAGGACTTGAGATCCTGCCTTTCTAACCAGCTCCTGGGGGCCCAGTGCGGCTGGTTCCTGGGGTCCTTGGAGAAGCGAGGATTTACAACAGCAGATGGAGGCCACAACTGTAAGAAGTTGTGGGGTCGCAGTGCCAGTACGAAAGGGTGGTGGCCTTGGGCTTCCCTCTGGGTCCCTTTTTCTTTTTTCTCAGGTGCTCAGCCGTCCCCATTTACAGGTTTTGCAGAGTGATTTCCCCGTCCCACTAACCACCAGGGACACCCACAGGCTCCCTCTGCTCCCCAGCCCACAGATCCGCTTTGACTTTGGCCTGTTGGCAAACGCAGGTTGTTTGCTCTCTCCTCTGGCTGTAAAGGGCACATTCAGGTAGTGGGGGGAAGAAAGGAGGAGTTTTTGTTCTGACCTGTCCTGGATGGTGAATACTCAGGATGGCAGCGGTAAATGCTGTTTGACACTTTATCCATCAGCATCTGGAAATAGGATTGGCGAAGTGATGCAGATGTTTTGATTTAAAAACAAACACAAACCACTCTTTTTAGGGTGGCTTAACAAGGGGACTTAGGTAGAAGAGTAGGTTTTAGCTTTGTTTCGTTTTTAAATGGGGCCTCTCTGTGTCCAGATCACTTGCCTTAACCTCCTGAGTAGCTGGGATTACAGACCTGTGCTGCCACACCGGCTTTTAGTGTGGGTTGGGAATCGAACCTGAGCCTCCCCTGTGGACTCAGCCTGCCTCACAGCAGCATCAACCAGTGTGTGCTACTGCAGCAGGGACAAATAGCATTTTTTGTCCTTTTTTTGCCAGGGGCACATGCACTCACCAGAGAGAGAGAGACAGAGACTCTCACAGAGTGAGAAGATACCCCCAGGAGGGCATGGTCATGTTACAATTCCTTCTCCTCTGTTTCTCCAACCCATCAGGATTTCGGGCATGCATACACACACACCTGGTGGCTCCCCCCACCCCCCAAACTGCTGGGTCCAGTTGGCCACGTGGGATCTGCTTCCCTTAACCACTAGGCCATGGGACCAGCTCAGCAGTTTTATTTATTTATTTATTTATTTATTTATTTAATTTGAGGTTTTTGCCACAGGGTATGTGCACTCATTAGAGAGAGACAGATAGTGGGAAAGTGAGAAATACCCCCACTCCCAAGGGGCTGAACACGCTACAGTCCTGTCTCCATTCTCTTCCTGGGATGTTGGGCATCCCCACACATGCACCCAGTGCAATTTTCAAGCTGTCAGGTCAGGGACTTGAACTGTGGTCAGCCATGTAAGGAGTCCAGTGCCTTAACCACCATACCACCTACTGGCCCCCATTTTATTATTATTATTATTATTTATTTTTTTTTTTTGAGAGGTTTTTGCTATAAGGCATGTGCGCTTGCCAGAAAGACAGAGAGAAACAGAGAGACAGAAAGCAAATTACCCTCTGGGGTGGTGGCTACGCCACAATCCCTTCTTCTCCATTCTCCTCTTGGGATCTTGGGCATGCACGCACACATACCTGGTTTGAGTTTAAGCCACCAGATCCGGGACTCAAACTGCGGCCGACTACGTGGGAGTCCAGCGACATAGCCATTACGCCAATTGCTGGTCCCAAGGCCCCTATTTAAAAAAAAAAAATCATCTCCCCCCTTTAATTAATTAATTAATTAAATTTAATTTAATTGGTGCAGTTCCCATTGTGAGCTCCTTCTAGACCAATGGATCTGCAGATCACCGATGCTGTTCATCTCCTCGGTTTCCTAGCATGGGGGCCGAGCCTGGCCTCACCTGGCTCACCTGGGTCTGCCTGTGTCCCTGGCCTTTCCTAGGTTTGCATCTGGCTGTGCTGTGAGCCTCTTGGCATAAGGCCCTGTCCACTCTCTGCCACGGCTTCCTTCTAGGGTCAGAGACAGCGTCTTCAGCTTTTGATCTGCAGGCCCAGGGCTGCCGTTTCCTCACAGAGCACCAGGGCTTGGCAGGGCTGAGGCCAGTGGGGTCGTGGCCAGCCCTATGGGTGCTGGAGGAGCAGGGGGCAGTTGAATGAAGCCTTTGAGATGAGGCCCTGGCCCTGGTGTGCATGCGTGCCAGAACACAGGGCTTTTCAACAGCAGCTTCTCTGCCTTGTAACTTTCCACAGGGAGAGGTCTGGCTCCCTGTCATGTCAGAGCGAGAATTTTAAACATGTTGGAGCCCGGAGGAGGTGCTCAGGCCTCCCGTTCATCTTCTTGCCTTCAGCCCAGGCAGCAGTGTGCAGGCTGACCAGGGGAGTGCCATTCATGGGCCTTTCCCCTTGTCCCTGCTGACTGCCCTGTCCAGGTGAGTGGGCAGTTCAGCAAATACTGTTCAGGTGCCACGGAGCCCTGTTGTGCAGGGGTGCCGAATGTGAAAAAGCATCACCCCCCGTTTGGGCAACTAAAGAGGTGAGCCTGCACAGGGAAAGCACCAGAAAAGCGCTGCGGGGTGGGGAGGGGCGGGGGTCAGCAAGGCCTCCACGGTGAAGCGGGCCTCGGGTGGAGTGGGCACCTTGGGTGCCAGTCTGGAGGCCTGGAGGGAGGTGTTTGGGAGGGAACTGTGTGAGCGGAGACCTGGAGGCAGGACCTAGAGGGCATACAGGGTGCCCTAAGTAGCATGGTCGAGCCGGCGCTTCACGGAGACTTGGGCTTCCAGGCGGGCAGGGGAGCCGCCATGGCGAGCTGTGAAGGTGTGATCAGGAATCAGATGGCGGAGCTTTAAGAGGGACTCTGAGCTAGTCACCTGTGCCTGGGGAGACTGAGGGCAGATGACAGGCAGCGGAAGGTGGAGTGAGCAGACGGGGTCAGGAGGGAGGGCTGCATCGGGCCCTCCTGGCCCCCTTCCTCCAGGATCATGTGAAACAGCCTGTTTGCATTGGTTCTCTGCGGTACCCTCCTTCACGGGCTGCCCTGAAGTCCCTCTAGGACCCCCATCCTTCCTCCACCCCCTTCCCCCACCTCTTTTTCAGTGAGAGGATCTCTGGTACCTGGGGGGGTGGGGCAGGGAGGAGAAACCCAGACTACGTGCCGTGTGGTTGAGCACCGTGGGGAACAGCATGGCAGGAGGGTGCACGTCCTCAGTCCAGATAGACGCAAGCCCCGACAGAGGGCCCGTGAGAACCAGTGTGTGCCACCGAGGCGGACCCGGGCACTGACCCTCTCGTTCCTCTGCACACAGCTGTATCCAGCATGCTCCAAGGCCACAGCTCCGTGTTCCAGGCCTTGCTGGGGACCTTCTTCACCTGGGGGATGACGGCAGCCGGCGCGGCTCTCGTGTTCATATTCTCTAGTGGACAGGTGAGTTACCTCGTGTCGGTGCTGCACGTTCACGGGGACTCGTGGTCGCCTGTGAAACCGTTCCCCCCACAGAGCAGGCTCGTGGCGCTTTCACGTCCCTGGGCACAGCTCCACTTGGTGGGCAGCTGGGTCTTGTGGCTGTTTTTTTCTCTTTTCTCCTAATCCCCACCCAGCCGGAGAGCAGGTATGTGCTTGCTGCAGACCCCTCAGGCATCACCTTCCTGTCTCCTGACTCACACCCCTGCCTCAAAGGGAATGGGAAGGGAGAAGCCCCGTGATCGAGCCTCTTTGAGCATGCCGCCTCATTTCTGCCCTCTGCCTTGTGTCTTTCACACCTGGGGCAGGTGGCGCCACGCATGGCCGAGAAGAACATTAGGTCACAGACAGAACTGCCCTCCCCTGTGACCTGGGGTTAGCTGTAAGACTGAAGAGGCCTCAAGCAGAGGGAGAGTGTCTGTTTTCCTTCTCAGTTACCCCATCCCCAGGACCTTTGATCCTCCTCCCCCTTGGGGTGAATACAGATAGACCCACTTCCCATTCCCCTCCTATTCCCAGGCCTGCCCGCCCCTAACCTAACCCCATGAATCCCCCATGAATCCCTCCCATACCGTCAGCACCCTCACTCCCTCTCATGCCCCCACGACCCACCTGTATCCCTGTCATCCCGAATCCCCACATCTCTCCCCTGCTACACTGCATGTCCTCCCACACTTTCTGCACACACCCACATCCCTCCACACCCACACTTACCTCATATGCCTGAAATTCCATCCTTTTCTCCAGTTTGGACTTTCCCCAGTCCTCAGCCTTTGAGCCGTCGACTGCTCTCTTGGGAGATGCACAGGGAGGTTCAGCACTGCAGCCTAGCAGGTGTGGGAGTGGCGCGGGAGAGCCACTGAGATGGTTTGAACAGAGAGTTTATAACGGACACGAGCATGCAGATAAATAAGGGATGTTAGGGGACAGTGTCACAGCAGAGTGAAAATATGGGCCATGTAATACATATTTCAGAAAAAACTCATATGACCAATATGACCATTAACATGAGCACAACATTATGGGATCTTAATGTTCAAGAAGATGAATATGGGTGATCACGGATTTGATTATTGCACTCTACGCTTGCCTTAAGAAACCCTACAGTAGCCTACGAAGACACACATTGATTATAAGTAAACTAGAAATCATAATTAAGAGAAAAAACAAAACATGCCATGAGATGGATCTGGAAACAAGGACATGTCGAGGAAGCTGGTGAGTCAGCCACTCTGTTAGAGAATGGGACCAGTACATGGGTATTGATGGCGGCCGTAAGGGCTCCATGCCCTCCTCCCCTCCTAAGGGAAGTTTGGCACTGACAGATCAGAGACTTGGAACGCCAGACACACAACCCTGAACCACAGGTTACTCGGAATCTAGACATGGCATATCTGGAGATGTCCCGTGCATAGAGACAGAAAGCAGCTTGGAGGTTTCCAGGGGCCGGGGTGGGGATGAGGAGTTACTGAATTAGTGTCAAGTTTCCCAAAGTGAAAAGACTTTGTGAGCAGTTGGCTATTTCATTTCACTAAGGTCCTCAGGCCTCAGCCAAGTGGTAGCATGTGCCTGACTTTCTTTCCTTTGTAAAGCTGAAGAGTATTCCTTCTATTGAATGGACATACCACACTTTGTTGGTTCATTCCTCCACTGACGGTCATTAAAAATGTTTCTATTGAGTTGTAAGACTTATATAGAAAAGCGCACATTGTATAAATGCACAGTGTGTGTGAGCAATTTTCACAAATGCCCGTGAAACGAGTATCCACATTAAGAAGCAGAATAATACCAGCCCTGAGGGCTCCTTCAGGCTCCCTTTCAGTCACCACCTCCACCCCAGCCTCCACTCCAAGCTGATGAATCCTCCTCCACAGCTCTGACATCAGGGAAGGCTTTCCCTGTTGGAGCTTTGTCATTCAGATGGAGTAATCAGATACAGTATGCACTGTTCTGTGGCTCATTTCATCCTATTTACCTTCCAACTTATTTAACGACCCTGCCTCATATTTGTGTGAAATATGAGGGGGTCTTCAAAAAGTTGGCGGAAAATGTGTATTATGAAAATACTATGGTGTGTGCCCTGTGAGCTGGTGGTTAAGGGAGCCAGATCTCACATGACTGACCAGGTCTGTATCCTGGTCCCATTGGCTTGAAAAACATGCAGATACATGTGTGTGAATGGCCCAGATCCTGACCGGATGAAGAAATGGAGGAGACGGGATTGGGATGGGACCATGCCCCTTTGGGGAGTGCTTTCTCCCTGCCTTTCTGCCTTTCTCTGGTGAGCACACACACCCTCTGGCAAATTAAAACAAGAAAGAAAGAAAAAAGAAAAAAACGATGCATGAATTTTAGTTTTGTTGCATCGAAAAACCCTCATGCTTCCACTTTTCCCATGAACTTCTTGTATATTTACTACGTCTGTCTTCTCGTTGCTGTACGGTGTTCCATTGTACGGCCGTACCCTCGTTGGTGGATCCATTCTACTGATGGGGCTCTGGGTAGTGCCTCCTGCTCGGCACTCACAGGCAGTGCTGCTCTGCACATTTTGCAGTTTGGGTTTCTGGTACGGAAATTGCTTGGACAGGCGAGCACCGTCGTGCCGGCTTCTCACTGGTGCTGGCCAATGGCTTCCCGAAGTGCTGAGCCAGTCACACTCCCACTGTGTGAGGGCTTTGGTCGTTCTACCTGCTGCTCATCAACACTTAAGGGGTTCTGTCTGTGATGTTAATAGTTACAGGAAAGCTGAGACAGCACAGGGGCTGGCGCAGGCCACGTGAAAGAACACTTCTGATTGGTTAGGGGCTGGGTGGAAGGTTTAAAAAGTACCCCTTCTTCCCCAGGTCTTGTCCTGTTTTTTGACAGACTCAGGAGTGCGGGGGTCGCTCTTTATCAGGTGGCTCTTGTTAGCCTGTGGTGTCCTTTCATTCTGGGAAACACGTGTTGTGGCTCTTTAGAAACTGAAACGTCTTGTTTTCGTTTTCAGAGGCGGATCTTAGATGGAAGTCTTGGCTTTGCTGCAGGGGTAAGTAGCATGGGGTAGAAGAGCTGTAAATGGAAACACGTTTATTCTGACATTTCTCTCCCTTCTCTCCATGCGACCTAGCTGACCTTGTTGCATCTGTGTTCCCAGGTGCTAATGGCTTACTCTTCGACAATATTTATTCCCCAGCTTATCAAATGCCTCTGATTCTTTTTCGACGGAAGGAGGCTTGTTTGGTAGTAGCCTGGAGACTCGTAGATTAAGAAACATGTGGGACCAGCAGTTGGCATAATGGCTATGTTGCTGAACTCCCATGTAGTTGACCACAGTTTGAATCCCAGACCTGGTGGCTTAAAACTCACGCTGGGCGCGTGTGCATGCATGCCCAAGATCCCAAGAAGAATGGAGGAGAAGGGATTGTGGCGTGGCTATCCCCCTGAAGGGGGGATTTCTTGCTTTCTGTTTCTCTCTGTCTGTCTGGCGAGCACATGCACTGTATAGCAAAAACCTCTCCAAAAAAAAAAGGAAGCATGCAGGATGGGCTTAGCAAGGGCCTGCCTGATGCATAGGTAGTTGGTGCTAATTAAATATTCTCTTTTTCTCTTTCTCTTCCTCTTTAAAAGACTTTTTTTTTTGGGGGGGGAGGTTTTTGCTATAGGGCACGTACACTCACCAGAAAGACAGAGAGAGACACAGAGAGACAGAAAATGAGAAATCACCCCACAGTGGCGATGCCCACGCCACACTCCCTCCTCCTCCATTTTTCTCTCTGGATCTTGAGCATGCACGCACACATGGCCAGCGTGAGTTTAAGCCACCGGACTCGAACCACGGTCGACTACATGTGAGTCCAGCCACATAACCATTACGCTAACTGCTGGTCCTCAAAAGACTTTTTATTATAGAGATTTCCCAACATGCAAAAAGGCAGAAAGAATCCTGTGATGCATCCCAGCTTATGTCGCTGACTTCAGTCATTATTGACATTTAGCTAATCTCATTTGCCTCCCTTCAGTCTTCTTGGGAGGTTAAGAGTAATTTGTAATGACAAATCCCACACATCATGCAATTTCACCTGTAAATTCTATACATATATTTAACTGATTGATTTTTTTTTTTCTTGCCAGAGGATGTGTGTACTGGCCAGAGAAAGACAGAGAGAGAGAGACAGAAGTATCTCCCCATGGGGCATGATCACTTGCGATCCTTTCTTCTCCATTTCTCTTCCCTTTTGGGATTTTGAGCACATCTGAACATGTACCTGGTGTGTTTCTTAAGCCACCTGGTCCAGGACTCAAACTACACAATTTACCATGTGGGGTCCAGCCTTCTAAAACACCATTCCACCAGCTGGACCAACTTAATGACTTTTTCAAAAAATATAATCATTGTGCCAGTATCAGACTTACCAAAAAATGAATATAATTTCTTACTTATAATCTATTATCCAATACATATTTGAAATTTCCATCATTTTTTTTTAAAGATTTTTGTGATAGTGTGCATGCACTCTATGAGAGATGGAGAGAGACAGAGGGAAAGTGAGAAATCATCCTCCCCAGGGGAATGGTCATGCCACAATCCCTTCTTCCTCCATTCTCCACCTGGGATCTTAGGCACACATGCACATGTACCCGGCATGATTCTTAAGCCACCAGGTCTGGACTTGAACTGTGGTTGGCTATGTGGGAATCCAGCACTTCAATCACCACACCACCTGTTGGCCCCATCTGCCATCTTCTTAAAGATATCTTCTAAGATTGCGTTGTTAGAATTGGAATCCAAACAAGATTTTTACATTGCATTGTCTTTTAAGTCTTTTATTTTTTTTAGTCATCCATGTTTTTTCCCTTCCCCCTTAGTTTTCTGTTGGGGAAGCCAGGTGATTTGTCCATAGGATGTCCCACATTCTGTATGTGGTGCCATGTGGGTATTGATGGGGAGAAAGTGAAGGTCCCTCATCACTAACCACTGGGCACAGATCCTTTAGCAGTTCGGACCCTCTCTTGTGTTGAAGATGGATCTATTTGAATTGTCAACAGAGAAATCCTGAAAAGTAATGTCCAATGATGGACCTCCCTGAGATCTGAGACCTGGAACTTGAGAAGAGTACGAAGAACAGAATGACAATATTGTATCATGACATCTTTTCTCTCCCATCTTCTCATTTACATGAACATATTTTCTCTTTGCTTAGGTTTAAATGGAAAAAAAAGGAAAAAACTCAAAACTAGAAATAAATTGAGGCTTAACTCTGTCTTAGCCTAGTGATGATTACTTAGCGATTGTCCATAGATATAGGAGTGAATTCACAAAACAAGAAAAAAGTCTCATCCATTCACATAGGCATTTCTAAGATTATTTTATCTATTTAATAATTATAAAATGTATTATATTTTTGTTGTTATGAATCTCTTCTGTGCCACTAATAGTTATCATTATTCAATCCAGGAAATTGGATTTAAGCATTTAGAGCCTTAGGCTCACAGGAAGCTTTTAAAAATTAAATTGAAATGTATACAGGTATTTATATGGCAGAGAAATAAGATAAATCAATAATAGATTCCCCCCTCTTTTTTCTTAATTGCCAAAGAGTACATGCTCTCACCCAAAAGAGACAGAGAGAAAGGGAGAAAGCACCCTACAATGGGGCATAGTCATGGCATAATCGCTTCTCTTCCATTTCCATTGCCTGTTGAGACTTTGGGCACACATACTGCTGGGTCCAGGACTCAAGTCACGTGGTTGGCCATGTGGGATCCAGCTGCCTTAACTACTAGGCAGTTGAATGGCCCAGCCCAAGAATAGATTGTTCTAGCATACAATATAAGTTGCTTTAGGATAAAATTCTGTCTAGAATTGGAATTGAAATACAAGACAAAAAAAGAAAAGATGTCAATTTTTGATCTTCGGAGGCAGAGCTTGCTCATGGTACGCATTTTCCATGTGTAGAAGATACCACACAAACAGAAAAGGGAATGGAGCAAGAGTTTACATGTTGTATTTTTTTAAGTGGATACTGATGGGAATAAAATCTCTATGCTGTTTAGATCCTACCAGATGCACTAAAAAGACTGATGAAGCAGTTTTATTAAACAAATCAATAATTAGATGCAAGGAATGATATCTTTTGCAGCTATTGAAACTTAAGAGGGAAGCTTTCTTTTTCGTTTTTAAGGTTTTGGCCATAGAGTGCATGCACTGGCTGGCTGGAGAGGGAAAGTGGGAAGTCACCTACCAGGGGGATGGCCATGCTGCATTCCTTTCTCCTCCGTTCTCTGCTTGACATTTTGGGTGAGCACACATACGCACGCCTGGCATGGTTTTCAAGCTGCTGGGTCTGGGACTCCAAGCATGGTCGGTCCTGTGGGATTCCAGTGCCTTAGCCACCACATCACTACTGCTGGCCCTGAGAGGAAAACATTTTGAATGTCAACTTACAAATGAGTGAGGGGTTTTTCTAAATTCTCAGAGGGGTACACAGAAACAAAGCTTGAGGAACTCTGTTCTTTGCTGTCCTCCTGCTTTTGACTAGACATTTGGGTGTTTCATTCTACTTTACTCTTTTAGGTCAAAAGTGTTACAGGACTCAGATGAGAAAAAGAGAAAAAAACAAATGAAAGAAAGAAAGGAAACAAAGATAGAATGCAGTAGTTGTTGAGACATGTAAGAATGAATTCTGGGATATTAAAACATGAAAATTGAAGATGTAATTGCCTTCAGAAAAATTCATGAGACAAGTGTTATTACCATGTGTATTTAATTATGAATATCTAAAATAGTTTTACTTTCTGATTTTTAAAGTCGTTGGGAGAAAAAAAAGAGTCTAAAAGTTATATATGTATAAGAAAAAAAGTCATTTACTTTTCTAAAATTGGCCTTCAATATGAGCTAGCTGCAGAAAAGAGCTCTTGGCAGGTCCCCAGATACATAGAGCAAAGTAAAACCATGATGTGGGAGACAGCTGGGACTCAAACCCAGGGAGTCTCAGTGGCTCTGAGGGCTAGAAGTGGGTTCTTGTGTATGCTGCCTGATCTTGGCACAGAGAATATAGCCGAGGTGGCCCGAACACACTAACTGTTTTTACTTGTGGAATGGTTTGTATCTAATAGAGCCAGTCTGTTGATGGGAGCATTGGTCTCAACCAGGGGCAGTTTTGCCCCCTCGGGTTCATTTGGCATGGTTGGTAGTCACAGCTGGTATCTACTGGGTGGAGGCCAGGGATGCCACTGAGCATCCTTTGACGCCAGGATAGGAAGCTTTGTAGCCACAGAGACTTCTCCAGCCCCGAATGTCAGTGGCGCCAAGGCGAAGAAACCTGGTCTAGAGCGTTTGGGTGTGTCGGCTCTACTCCCAGAGTGTGATGTGTAGAAATTCAGATGGAAAGTTCAAAACAAAAGTTCCCTTGCCTCCCCCCCGGCCTTCCAGAGGTCGCCCCTGTGAGCCCTGAGTGCGTGTGGCCTTGCAGACGTTTTATCATGCACATACAAGATATCCGGACAGTTGACTGTGCCCTAGTGTCCACTGTCTTAAAGACTTTGCTTCTTCAGTGCTGCTCTGAGATGCTTTGAATAAACACCTTGTAAAAGGCAAAGCTGGCTATGAGTCTCTTGACCGAGGTCCCACTGCCCTTGCACGGATGTCTACGTGGCACTTCTACATTTTTACAGTCAGTTGTGCATACGGTTTTGTGTGTGTTGTACGTGCATTGCATTATGTCTTTAATATAATCCTGCAGCAACACATTTATATATGCCACAACGAGTGTTTCTGTAAGAGATTCCTGGAGCGAAGGATGTGCATATTTTAGGTATGCTTAGCAATGTGTTCCTCAGGCCCTTTTTTTCATTTAGCAGGGCCTCCGAAGTGTTATGTAGTTCTTAAATGACTCTGTTTGGAATCCATTGGGCTGTGTTTTTTTCCCCTGACTCATTGAATCACTTTTCAAGTCTCTGGTAATTGTCTTTCTCTCCTCAGCACCTGTGTTTGGTCTTGATTTTTGCCAGAGGCATGAACTTAATAGGGAGAACTGTTACCATGAA